ATGCAGTATATTTCTCTATCAGCTGACATTTGCTCGAGGTCGTGTTTCAACCAGTCTTTGAGGAGTGAAGGCTGGGTACCTGTCTAGTTTCAGAAACTACAACTGCTTTTAATCTATAATTCATATTTAGTTTTCTCTTTTACAAAGTATGAATTGTCTTGTGGAGTGTCCACTTTATAAAATTGTCAAAATACATTCTATATTACTTCTGTCTGGCTATGTCTGTCAGTCTTTTACTTCAAACATTTAGTTTGTCTGTCTGTTCTCTCACTCACTCACTCACTCTCTCTCTCTCTCTCTCTCTCTCTCTCTCTCTCTCTCTCTCTCTCTCTCTCTCTCTCTCACACACACACACACACACACACACACACACACACACACACACACACACACACACTCACTCACTCACTCACTCACTCACTCACTCACTCACTCACTCACTCACTCACTCACTCACTCACTCACTCACACACTCACTCACTCACTCACTCACTCACTCACTTTCTCTCACTCTCTTTCTCTCACTCTCTTTCTCTCTCTCTCTTTCTCTCTCTCTCTTTCTCTCACTCTCTTTCTCTCACTCTCTTTCTCTCACTCACTCACTCACTCACTCACTCACTCACTCACTCTCTCTCTCTCTCTCTCTCTCTCTCACTCATATCAAATTCTCTGTATTTCATAATATATAAGGGGACTTGATGTAAAAATAAAAAATAAAAAACTTAGTTGAAAATGTGTCCTACTACAGAAGTATCATCATTATCCAAAAAAGCCTTAACCCATTCGCCACGGATTTATGTTCGGTCCCCTGTAGTTTTTGGTGAATTTTGTTACATACAGATGGCTCCACATGTGCTCAGCCGGCAAGGAGTCTATCAGTAGACTCTAGTTACCGACCCTGATTTTCCCATTCATTGAACTGGCGGGAAAACTAATACCATTGCATTCGATACTATTATTATTGTTATTGATGTTATGCTTATTGAATTGTCATTAGAATATTTTTGACTATGAAATGATACAAAAAACCCTTTCCTAAAGTGAAGGAAAAGGGTAAACAGGTGAAATAGGTAGTTCTTGATAACTGGCTATTTGGTGATTAAAAACTTGTGGAGCCATCTATGTGTAAGTACAATAAATAAACCTGTATCAAAGTGGGTATGGCATCTATTCTTGCCACATGTGGCAAATGGGTTGAAGACCATATAATACAACCCTATCATACAAAAAAAGAGAGAAAAAAAGGTGGGGGTATGCACAGGATGACAGAGCTGAAACTCATGAGACCAAGTGGACTTAGGCCGTGAATGGTGCTTTCTGGGATCTTTTTCCTTTATTTATGGCATTCTTCTTTGTGTCTGTAGATTATTTCTTGTACCGATGACTGCAACTTTTTCTCCTTTAACAGAATATCATCTTCAATTTGCCAACTTGGTGCATCCATACCATAAAAATTAACCCAAACACTAAATTTCAGAATGTAAAGGGAAGCCCGCAATCACTAAACAGAGTAAGTGGATCTACTTGCATAAATGGTCCTTTATTTAGTTTTCATTCTCTTTATGAAACTGTCATTATATTTTACCCATCTTAGTGCTGTCATTATGCAAATTTATACCAAATTATTACTTACCTGTTTCTCAATCTTCATATTATCAACTAGTGAAGGAAATACCATGGATGAAAATTATCTTAGAGGATTCTGTCAATTGCAGGCTGAGATATACAATTAAATGATGACTACACTAAAATAAGGGAAATCTAATGACACTGCCATAGAGAGAGGGAAGAGTTACACTCACTGATACATGTAATAATCTCCACTAAAGAAAGGAAAATGTCATATATCAAAATAAGGGGTCTAGACAAATTCCACACAGAGACCAAGTCAACACTTATTGACTATGGGTTCTGGGGCAGACAATTACAATAGGCCTACAATTACATAGCTTGTGCTGGAAAATAACAAGAGATTCACACACATTACATTGTGAATAGTCAAATCTAGGAATAGTAATTACAAGGTTGAATGGCTGTGTGGAACTAAAAAAGAAAAAAAGAAAAAAAAAGAAAGAAATAACAATTTTCTGAAATCTTTAAATCATACTCCCATATAGATGAATTATTAATTGAAATACATGTCAGAAGTTCATTACAGATTCAAGAATTTACCTTTTTCACACATTCGTACCAGAAACGTAACTATCAATAAACTAATAAACTGTATATAAAAACAAATCGAAGAAAATAGAAGCAGAATTTATTGTTCTCGTCAGCAATTTATGACTGGAAGGAAGCAACATCCAGGAAAACCACCTAAAACATGGAATTTCCTTGTTTTTCCTCCTTCTTTTTTACTTACCTAGTATATGCATATCGAGAGATATGAGTATAATCCATAACGAGTATACTGTTCTGTGCAGCGAGTTGAGAAATGTCATTTTTTTTCGCATTTTAGCCACACTCGCCTCCCTTCCCTCACACCAGCCGCATGTATAGA